AGGAGAAATGCAATCTTTTTGTTGCTGAAAAGTTGATTATTTTCATTTGATTAAAATTATTGTGCTCTTTTGAAAAGTTGATAAAAAGTCCGTTTTTAATTTTTTATTAATTTTGAGTTATATCATTTCTCACATAATTTATCCACAAAAAGATAAAATAAGTTAAAAAAGTCAAAACATCCTATTATGTTTGGGAAGAGAATTAAATTTTTTTTTCCAGATTGATGCGATATTTATGAGAGAAAAAATAAAATGATTATAAGTTTGATGTAACATTTTGTCTTATTGATTATTTTAACATATTTTGTCTTTTAGTATTATTTTAAACCAAAAAATAAAAAAATCTCCATTGTTGACTGTCAATATCAATTTTCTAATTAATGAAAAAGATAAATAATTTTTTGTTTCACAATGGAAATACTAGTAGCCATGCAACATCTACACTTTAAAGAAACTGAAATTTTCTTTATATGTATCTGTTGGTCAAAAATTCTAACACTTAATTAGAAAGTCAAGTCTTAGGATATTTGTAAATTATTTCTCACTAACTAACAATATATATACATAATATATGCACATATAGTTTTGGTTTAATTAGTCGAAGACTTTTAATTATAAAATTATATTTCCTTTATCTCTTCAGAAAGGGGCATTTGTTTATTTTATTTTTCATAATTGAATAGTCTAAATATATGATTTTAAAGTTGAAAAAAATAAAATAATACTTAATAATAGTTGAAGGAGTTTTCATGTAATTAATCTTTTATGTTTTTTTAGCTATGTGTTGTCTAAGCTTCAAGTTTAGAAGGAAAACAAAAATCACCTTCAAAAAGTGTAGGGTGTTGTTGTGTATTACTAAATTTAGACTAACCAAAACTTCAATGGATTTGAGGTGCCTACAGCAGCCACTCCGGTGCATTCTTATGGGCTTATTTCAGAGTCCATCTTGATAATCCGAACCGCTCACATTTTAGAGTGCATCAAGTAAAATATACCTGTAAAAAATTAAGTTAATCGGATATCGTCAACCCTTTCATCCACTCACATTTGTATTCATTTTAATACTTTAAATCACAATATTATTTATTTTTGAAAATACAAATGTGAGTGGATAAAAGGATTAATGATATCCGATTAACTAAATTTTTTACAGGTATATTCTACTCAATATACTCTAAAATATGAACGATTCAGATTATCAAGACGGACCCTGAAATAAGCCTACACAACAGTGCCTGCAGTGCTGAGTGCTCAACAAGCCCCCCAAATTCAACTTCAACTACTTGCATAAGTTAGGCTAACCAATCTCTGCCTAACTCTAATGAAGTTATTAAAGTATGATCTCATTATCTCCCCACTAGCCCATAGTAGTAATTAATGTCATTAAAACTTGTTTTATGAGCTTTATTGGAATGATATGCAAGCCATGTTGTGTTGTAGATGTCTTTCATCTCTGTACTTGAGGAAATAGTTCAAACACTTTCATAATGAGGATTAATAAAATCTAAACATAAATGGCACCAAAAAAAAAAATTGTCAGTAATATCATGAGCACTTACTTAAATTCATCAGCAACATTAAATATATTTACAAATTAAAAAAAAATAATATTAGAGTGATTAAATTTTAGTTCCTCTGATCTTGGCAATAATTAAGAGTACCTAATTATTAATTTTACATGGCATAAAATTATAGAGGTTAATTCGTATTTTAAACAAATTTAAAAAATATAATTGTAATTTACCCTAAAACATTAGATAGAGATAAAAACAAATATACTAAATAGATATATAGCCAGAATTGTGAATAATACAAAAGAGAAGGGTAAAATAAAATAAAATAAAGAAAAATACAAGCCTCAACCCTTTTATAGTATCTAGATAAGCTTGCAAGCAACAAGACATCTGGCGAGGGCAGATGTCTTCACACAAATTTAAGTGGCAACTCCAATTTTCAAATTACAATTTGATCCCAAACTTCATAATAATTATATTTTGACTCTTAGCACATATAAAATTACAAATTAAATTCTATATGTTTTCAATTGTGATTAAACAATATTAATACCAAATTTGAAGAGTAATTAAATTTTTGGGTCTTTTTAGGTTTGGTGAGAAAAGAAACGAAATAGAGAGAATTTTGGATTATTAATGGGTTGAGTGATGGTGAGAAATAATGAGAAAGTCAAATCACATCAAATTTAAGTTTTATTTCTCACCAAAAGTTGTGAAATTTAGTGAGAAACTATAATATTTTCTTTTCCTTTCTTACTTACGTGAAAACTCTAATCATTTCCTTTCATTTCTCATTTCTCAATCCAAACGAACTGTAAGTCAGTCATAAGTCAAGGTATAGGATTTACTAATCAATTCCCTATTAAATTTGTGAGAAAAAAAAATTTTGTGAAATGAATTTAACTCTTATTTTATTAGAAAAATTACAACCAAAAAAAAAATAGAAATGACAAAAATTAATTGTCTTCCAAAATTACAAAGGAGGTGAAATGTTTAAAATTAATTGCAAAAATATGAAAACTATAATTAAAAAGTTAAAAATATCGCTTCTCCCTTATCTTCCTCTTCTCTTCCCTTTACAATTCTACTGACCACTCATTCATGTGCCATCCTTAATCCTTCACCTATCTTCTCCACTATCCCAACCCTTCATGTCCTCTAACAACCCTTTATCTACCTTTCCAAACCCTTTCCCATCCTGTGCATATTTCCCTGACCCCTTCCTTCAATCACTCTTCAACCTTTCACAAACTCGTAATCTCTTATTCAACAAGCACCGTCATATCTTAACCTCCTCATATTTGGATTAAATCTCGTATCTCAAAACCTCAAATCAAAACCCTAAATAGAGAAAGAATGAAACTAGTTGCTAATGTGTCGCAATGGTCACAATCTGGTTGCGGTAATGGTGGTGTGTCGCAATGATATTGGCTAGATATGATGAGATATGGGATGAAGCGGAGAAGGAGCTCGGATTGGGTAACAGTGTCGCCATCTATGAAGTTGAGATGGATTTGCACATATTGGGATGGATAAGAAAGGATGAAAGAGGTGTTGGTGAACGACTTACAGTGGCAAGAGGCAGTGTGAAGGCACTAACAAAAGGTAGGGAAGGAGTTTTTGGCTTGCTAGTGTGACAGGAAAAAAAAAAGAAAAGAAAAATGGTAAAAAAGGTGTTGCCTGCAGCGCAGGAGGTAAGGAAGAGCTATCGATAAGTTAGGGTTCTAAGAGCATTCACAATAGACATATTAAGCTGTATGTTAGTGTTAGGCGTTAAGTTTTGGTTAGTTGAGAGTGCTGTTTGGGGTTACAATGGAGTTATTAACATGTGTCAAATGTTAATATGTGTGTTAACTGAGCGAGCATTTTAACTAGCGAATGTGCTTGGGGACTTCTCCTAAGCGTCCTCCTAAACGTCCGGCTCCGGATCCTTCAAGAAAAGGGGAAACAAAAAAATTGGTCTTATTGGTTGATGGCCGGACGTCCGGCCGGTTGACCGGTCAACGGAAATATTTTTTATTTTTTTTTACTTATTGGGATTTTTTTTGGACTTGAAATTTAATTTTGAGTTTGAAATTTTTGATTAAACCAAATTATTTATTTATTTTATTTATTATATCCACATATATATTTTTAACACACTCCTTAACACATTCATTGTATCACCATTCATTCACTAAATTAACAAACTCTTAATACATATTTTTGAGTCTCATTTTTAATACTTTTTGTCATATAACACACTTTTAACACATTCATTGTGGGTATCCTAAGGAAGAGAGAAGAACGAAGAAAAAAAAATGAAAAATCTAATATGGTAATTTTACAATTTTTACTTTGTCTTTTTCATTCTTTTGTATTTATTCTACATATGTTGCAACTTATTGTGATTCTCCCATTGAATTTCAATATTTTTTTTCTTCTTTCCATTTTACTACATTTTTTTCTATTTTATTTATTTTTTTATAAACAAATTTATGCTTTTTACTACAAGTGAAGTTTTGTTTGTGGATGGGGTTCAACCCTCTGACCATTTGGTGGGTTGTCCAACTTCCCAACACCACCCCACTTTTTTTTATTATTATTGTATTATTTGAGTAATGATTATTAACAAAATTTTTGTACAAATTAAGGTACATTTTTTTTTAATGATTTCTCTATTTTTAATCTCTTAAAACTTCAAGGTTTTCATTAATTTAATACGGTAAATTAGTGCATATATTCATAATTTTTTTTAGCAATTTATATTTTATTTAATTTAAAATATTTTTTTATATTTCAATAAATCTTATGGGTGATATAATTATTAAAATATTACTAATAATAGTAAGGTAAAACATGTATTAATGTTCACATTGACAGTGTAAATATTCAAATAATAAAATATTCAAAATAATGTACACAAAATTGTTAGGGTTTAAAAAATAGTTGTAAGAGTATACTTATCCATATATTACCTTAAATATGAGAATTATGATTTAGTGGATCAAGTATCTAAAATAATAAAACTTATTCAGTGGGTTTAATTTCAATTTTCTGGATTTTATTTTTTGAAAATTGAGTTATTTTTTTCGTTTTTTCTTTTTATTTTTAGTGAATATTTTTAAAATTTTAAACAATATTTTTACTTTTTTAAATGCACCGTAGTTAAATATATTTTAAAAATAAAATAGTTGTAAAAAAGTATTTTAAAAAATCAATAAATATGCAAGAATACGAAAAATGTAATGAATTCTCATAATTTTTTTTATATTTTTGGTATTTAGTGAAATTTGTAAAAAAAAATCACAAATATTATATTTTTTAAGTATATTTATATTAGGTTAAAAAAGTTTAATAAAAAGAAAAAATAAAAATTTTAAAAATTCAAACCAAACAAATTAAAATTCAAAAATATCTTATAAATTAATTAAGATAAAAAATAATTTTTTAATAAATTTGTAAATTAATTTCATTTTATCATTTCCTCTCTTATTATATAGCCAACCACACCCTATAATACCTTTCTTTTTACAAAAATCAAACACAGACTCCAGCTCAATTCTGTCTGGGTCCATGTGAAACCTACTTCAATGGCTAAACCTGTAAATAGAGGTCTAAACCCACCACTTTTCACCTATACCATCACTCTCACTTTCACCACCATCACCACCGCAGTGTGTGGAGGCAATCAAGACTTACCCCACCCACCACCAACTGCCCACCCACCCTAGGTAGAGAGAGAAACTAACTAACAAACAAACAAACAAAGAAAAGTCTTTGTTTTGAGATGGATAGATAGAGAGAGAGAGAGAGTTGGGGGAGAAGAGAGAGAGAGAGTCAGAGAGATGGGTGGGTGGTGGGGAAATGTTATGGTGGTAGTAGTCTCTAGGTGGAGTGGTTGTGGGTGTACATTGCACCATGCTGCGCATTCTAGCATCATCCACCACACCCCCCACCTCACCCCACCCCACTCACCCACCTGGTGGCCAACCTAATCTCTTTTACTTACATTCATTGCTCCCCCCACTCTCTCACCCACTCCCCCCCATCCTCATCATCATAACCACCACCACCATCACCACTTTCACCTCCACCACATCTCTTATATCTCCAGTCGCCACCACCACTCTGCTATTTTGCACCTCTTCACCATCCACTCTTATCCTCCACCGCAACCATGTCCACACCCACCCCCGAAAAGCCTCCTCGGAAGTTCCCAACACCGTGCTGGACCCAAGAAGAAACCCTAGCTTTGATCGATGCCTATCGTGACCGTTGGTACGCTCTCCGCCGGGGCTACCTCAGGACCGCCGACTGGGACGCGGTGGCTGACGCCGTCGTCAGCCGCTGCCCCGCCGTCTCCCCTCCCAAAACCTCCGCCCAGTGCCGCCACAAAATGGAGAAGCTCCGCCAGCGCTACCGCACCGAGAAGCAGCGATCTCTCTCCTTCCCTGGCCGATTCTTCTCCTCCTGGTTCTTCTTCGATAACATGGATTCCATGGCAAGTGGCTCATCCTTGGCCGTTGGATCTAAGCCAGATGCTGGTAATCAGGTTGATTCTGGTGTTGGTGGTGTTCTTCGTATCAAAAACGTAGGTGATCGGAATTCGGTGGAATCGGTGTTCGGATCGAAGAATTCTAAAAAGGTTGATGGGAATTCAAACCCTGATCTTGTTCTATATCAGGACAAAGCCTTGTGTGATCGAAATTCGCCACCTTTAGGTTTTAGGGCAAATAAGATTGAGGGGAATTCTAGCCCTAATACTAGTTCTAGGGTTTTGAATGGGTACCCATCATATGTGGATGATGGATCTGATGATGAGGAGGAGGATGAGGAGGTGGAGGAGGATTTTGGAGGTGGGTTTCGTGTTAGAACCCCAATTGATGGGAAATTGGTACCTCCAGTGTTTAGGACAAAGAAATTGGGGAAGATTCATGGGAATTTTGGACCTAATTTTGATTCCAATCATTTTTACAGCAATGGAATCGAAGATGGTGGTGGGTTTTGGGTAAAAACCCCAATTGATCAAGAAATGGTACCTCCAGGGTTTAGACCAAAGAAATTTAGTAAGGTCGATAGCAACTTGAACCCTAATTTTGGCTCTGCTGATGGTGGGTTTCCTGTGAAAATGCCCGGCAACAGATATTCGGTGCCTGCGGGATTTAGGACAAAGGGTTATGGCAAGAATGGTGGAAATTCATGTCCTAATCTTGTTTCTAGGGTTTCGAATGGATTTGACTCGGGTTTAGGGAAGAAGAGTGATGGTGGTGGTAGAGGAGTTAAGAGAGAAAGAGGTTCAATTTCAGAGATAGTTTCATCAATTAAGCTGTTGGGAGAAGGGTTCCTGAAAATGGAGAAAATGAAGATGGAAATGGCCAAGGAGATTGAGAAAATGAGAATGGAGAGGGAGATGAAGCGTAGCGAGTTGATACTCGAGTCGCAGCGACAGATTGTTGATGCTTTTGTGACTGTTTTAGTGGAGAATAAGAAGAAGAACGAAAACACGCCACCAGTGGCGGCACCTGAGACATAGTTGTTGGGACAGTGAAGTTTTTTTTACTTGGTTTCTTTTTCAAGTTTCTTTTCCAACCTTTGATTGGGAAGGATAAGATCTCCCTGGTCCTTTAGATAGGTATGGACTAGTGGGATTTGATTTATATGCTGTTAGATCATGTAACTTCGGTTTATGATTACTTTCTTTTCTTGTTCTCACTGATCACAGTTCAAAATGTGGCTAGGTTGTGTGACGTTGATTTGGTTAATAGAATGTATCATTGTTTTGAATAACATGATGTACAGTTGTTTATCTTATAGTATTGAATCTGAGGCACTGAAGTGGAGGTTCTTTCTCTGACTATAGTTGTAACTGCTCATGCCTGATGGTTGTTTACTATTACTTTGATGAAAGTATTATCAATGTTGGTTCCGGCATTAAATGTTGATTTTCTGATTGAATGGAACAAATGTATTGGAGGGTTATGGTGGCTAAATTTTGGTATGAAAATTATCATAATGGGTCTTGGATTCGAGTTGGTAGACTATGCTCTTCACCACCTGAACACTGATCTTTCACTGAGGCTGTTTCTTGACTTCCATCCATATTGAAAATATGGAGTTCTCATTCTGTGGAGTAAACTCTTCTCAGTTGATCCAAACACAAGAAGAAGAAGATGAAACAGCTTGTCTCAGATTTGCAAACACTTGAGGAAACTGTTTGATACTAGAGGGTCACGTACTGATATGAAAGTTTGTGACTTTTTCACAGATTGGTTGTTGGTTTTGAAACTTGTAAGCGCGCAAACACTATAAATTTAATAATCCTTTCACTTGATTTAGTATGGCAATTAGTTGGTACTTGGAATGCAAAATGGATTAAAAAGAGTATCTGAATAAATAGTTGCATTATTTTGTGTGAACGGAAGTTCTTACCTCTTTTTCGCTGTCAACTTGTTGCATTATGATGTCAAATAAAGATTTTTTGGGGGTCATTTATGGAGAGTGGTTTATCATGCTGTTTATGTACTTGATTGATAACATTGAGTAATTATTAGATTAGCATATTGAGTGGACAGGCATTCAGCTTTGGTTTATCAGCTGTTTATGGACTTGATTGACAACATTGAGTAAATTATTAGATTAGTATATTGGGTGGACAGGCATTCTGCTTCTGTTTTCTAACTAAAATTATGGATGTGGCTATAAATTTTGATATTTTATATATGTACAGGTATGATACAGTGACTTATTTGTAGTATTTGGATTCACTAGGAATGTCAAGTTTTTTTCAGTTTGGATGTTTGCAGGATCAAGTTAGAAGATTTTTTAGTATGCAAGCAAACGGTTTTATCATTTTGGAGGTTGGATAATGAGAAGTCGGTTGGATAGAGTACAATTATGATGACGAGAAAAAGCTGCAGTAAGGCTTCAGGTAATTGTGTTCCGCATTTACTTTTCATTCTGGCTTTTGTGTTAAATAACTCAACCCAGTTGATGGAATTTCGTATCCTCACAGTTTTAGGAGAAAAGAATTAGGCAAGAATGATGAGAACTTTAGATCAAATTTTTGTCCTATTGACAATGACATTAACAGTGATGATGCTGGTGGTGGGTTTCACATAAAACCCCCAATCTATCAAGATTTGGTACATCCAGGTTATAGGGCAAAGAGTTCTGGCGAGTTTTCTTCGTCTTCAAGAGTAAGAGAGGGTATTGTTGTCATGTGGCAGTAGGTTTGGGAAGAGGCATTGTAATGGAGGAGCTAAAAGAGTTGGTTGCATGGATTGTTGTCAAGCGTGGGGTTTGAAGATGGAGAAATGAAGATTGAGATGGGTGATCAAGAAAATTAAAATAGAGATAGAGCAGTCAATATATTATGTGGTTGAATAGAGACGTTTCTTTCCTCCTCACATGGATAGAAGTAAATAAACGGGAATTAATTGTAACTTCCACATGATGACAAGTTAATAAATTTTGTAGTTGAATAGGGACGTTCCTTTCCTACTTACATGGACAGAAGTTCATGTGAAGTAAATAAACTTGAATTAATTCTAACTTCCACAATTTGATGATAATCACATCAACCTCCCAGCCAAGAGGTTGTGGATGGATGGATGGATCGGTGGCTGTTTCTTTATTTTCTTCCATTCCACATAAAGGAAAGTCTCCTACAAACACAAAGAACTAGCAGTAAAAGATAAAAGAGAGATGGAAAGAAATGGGTTGAGTTTCATTTCCTTTTCTGGAAAGTACTACAATTCATGAATGCAGCGAACCAACAGATTTTCTTCACGACTGCAATGACCCACAAAATTTTTTAGGTTGTGCTTGGATCATGTATTTAGATAGAAATTTAAAAAAGAAAAAAAAAATTGAAAAAAAATTTAGCATATATTTTATTTACATTGTCTTTATTTTTTTTTCTTTTTTGTTTTTTCTTTTCAAACCTCTGCCTAAAACTTAATTGGTATTTATGTTACCCAACTTCCACTCAGCAGGCCCTTGTAGACATGATTCATTTGGAAATTTGAACACTTTTGCCAGAACCCAAATAAAAAATAAACTCTTGTGAGAGGCATCATATGAAAAGTAAATAAATAAATAAATAAAACATGGAAGCAGAACTGATTTAATAGAACTACTACTCTAAGGGCAAGGTCAAGATTTTGAGTTCAAAGCTGATAATGTAATTTGGTTCTACAAATCAAGTTTAAAGCCGCATTAGTCAAAACCCAAGATGACTGTTTGCACCCATTTTTGTAGTATTTTTGTGGATAGGTAGACCAATTAGAAGATAACACATGGTAGAGGCAAAGTGATAGTCTTTCATCAACCAAAGGGACATGTGGCATGAGAAGAGTGGTCGAGTGCATAAAATGGTAGAGGCAACTTTGAGGTAGTTCTTGGCTAGTTTTGTGATTTCATTAACCAAAGGGACATGTGGCATGAGAAGAGTGGTCGTGTGCATAAAATGGTAGAGGCAGCTTTGAGGTAGTTCTTGGCTAGTTTTGTGATTTAGTGAGATAGTTGCAAAGGATGATGCTTACAAGGTGAGGTGAATTCTCTGTCGATATGTTTCTCAGAGTGATGAGGGACACGTGGCAGCATGATGGAGAGTTAGTTCGACAAGAAATGTTGAAGATTTGGCAGAGTCTAAGGCTTGGAAAACAAGGAGGGAGTTACAATGTCAATTGTGAAGGTTGCAGTTACAAACTGAAAAAGATCATATCATCATGGGCCAGAAAAAAAAAAAAAAAATATATATATATATATATATATACATATATAAAATCAGGGATTTAATAGAGAGAATGGACATATCAATAACACAACAATAACTAAGCTTGCATCTAGGAGTAGTTTCTTTCTCTTAACTTGAGTAGTTTCTTCAGTAATTTGTAACTTGTAACTCTTGTAAACTTGGATAATTTCATCTGGAATTGTCTTTGCTTATTTTGTTACTTTTTCTTTCGATTGTTAATTATTATAAAGAAGTTCTTATACTTTCAGGTCATGTTTGATTCACAAAATTAATAGTGAAGTATTAATAATCCTATTAAATTAGTGTGGTATTCACTATCCAATTGGATTAATATCCATTGGATTAATAATCCCACCCCTATCCCATTACTAATAATCCTACAAATTTGTTGGATTAATTATCCATTGGATTAATAATCCTAAACCAAAATGTTAAAACAAACATAGGATAATTGGACCCACGGATTAATAATCCTAATCCCATGCTCTAATTCACCCAATCAAACATGCCATCAAGGTATTAGAATCTTTATACAGTCATCTAATTCTATATTTAAATTGTTTTGTTTAAATTATTGTTTGGTTGTTGTCAATCAAAACCTAATATAATTTTTACTAACAATGACATTAGCATTTTCATTGAGGGTAGAGATTGGAAGTGAAATTTTTTCTTGTCTTCGGTTTAACAATAAAATCACTTTTTATATAATGAGTACATTTATGTGATTTTATAAATTTAATTACAGTTAATTAATATCATAATATTAATGTACAAATAAATAGAATTTGTCTTATTTTTTCAACCTAATATTATCATACTAGTAATTTCATCACTTAGGCCTTGTTTGGAAACTCTCATTTTTAGCCAAAAAGTCAAAAAGTTACTAAATTAGCCAAAAAGCCAACAACACATACCAAAAAGTCAAAGATTCTCTTTTCTCTCTACTTTTTGCACACATTTTCATAAAAAGTCAAAAAGTCATCCCAAACATACTAGTTTTTTTTAGCTCATATTTTAGCCAAATAATCAAAAAGTTACTAAATTAGCCTGTTCCCAAACGAGACCTTAATTTTATTGTACACATAATCTCAATTAATTTAATCAAACAACCAAACCTGGCCTCTTACAACTCGGGATCACATTTATAAATACAATAGGACTTGGGACGTAATAAATAAATAAATAAATACAGGGAAAAAAAAAAAAAAAAAAGGCAGTGTAAGTGAATTTTTTTTATTTTTTATTTATTGCGGACTCCACCATCCATTCGATATACATGATCAAAATTATTTTTAAAGATTGATTCTAATTCTTTAATATTTTACTTGGTTTACTGGGATAAAAAAAAATGAAATAGAATAATTAGTCTTTAAACTAATCTATAAAATTATCATTCATTTGGTGCATAATAATTTCAATTGCAAATGTATTTTTTATTAATTTTTAATCAACCGAATATAAAAATAAACATTTTAATGAAATGAGAGTTTTATTTCATTTTAGTAAACCAAAAACTACCTAAGAAAATACTAATAAGTATGAATCAATTCAATGGTAACTCTTTCCAACATAATTAGAGGAATGACGAATTTTCTTTTCCTCTTTTCACTCTTCCCTTCTCCAAATTAAGACTATATATACTTGGAATGAAGAGAGATGATAAAATTTTCCTTCCCATGATATTACTTACTCATAGGGCTGCTAAAGAATCAACCTACTGCAACTTGACCATATTTGATTTGTTAAAAATTTGTTTGAGATTAAATCGCTATGTAAATTTGAACACATTTTTAATTTTTTTAAAATTAAGCTTAAACAATCTAACTGCTTGCCTTAGTAAACTTATATGTGCTATGAAATCAAATTACTCAAGTTTGACTTATAATCAGCTCGTTAAAAATTCATTCGACATCAACTAGTTAGGTAAACATATCAAACTTAAATATATTTTGAAATTTTTAAAATTTTTAAATCAAATTTAAACAATATAATGTTGGTGCAAATTTGGTAAATGTGATGGAAGGAGATAATAAAAGAGAAAATAATTAGCATTGCTTCAAGATGCATTATAACGTCGCTTTCTTTAAGACGATATTTGC